TTTCTCTCTTATTTCTTACTGATTAGAGCGATTATACTTTTGGGCGGAGGGAAACTGGCTGGTTGGCGTTTGTCTCTTTTTTTTTTTTTTCCCTTGACTTTCTTTATACCAAGTGTTTTGTAATTGGCTGACTGGGGGCTTTTAATGATATCGGGCAAGAACACGAAGTCTGTTTCATGAAATAAACCATATTGATTATTGCTGATAAATCGAACATAAGATGATTTGATACTCAGTATGTATCTGTACCTGTACCTGTACCTGTACCTTGTTTCTTGTAACTGTAATAGATACATACAGTCCATAAGGCAACAACAAAGTAATACAGGACCAAATCCACCCAACGAACTCCAGTTCATACCTACTCTAGCACCTAGTCTACGGAGTACTTACTAGTAGTATGTACCTAAGTCCAACCGAAAGGTAAACCAAAAAAGAACCAGACCCAAGGGCCAACAAAGCCTCAGCCAGCCATCAAAATCCATCCCCCATGCATCATGAAAAGAAAAAAGAAAAAAAAAAAAAAGAAAAAGGAACCCCCAAAGACCCAAGAACCAAGAACCCTCCCACGTGTCTCCATACTCAACAATCAACCCCCAAAAAAGCGGCACTAATTAAACCCTCCAATCCAAGTAGGCAAATAGGCAATAGGCAAAGACAAGAGCCTCGCACAAGCAAAAGCCCCCTCTAAGCCCGAAAAGGCGCCCGAAAACGAACCCGACTCGGCAAGGACAGAAAGAAAAAAAAAAAAAAAATTTACAGTTACTAGGCAGGAGAAAATCGGGCCTTACTAGGCGTGAAAATCGCTTAACCGGGTCCCCGGGAATATCACTAAGGTAGACTACCGCCAATAGTGGCCCCAAGGGTTCTTGTAAGTTGTAGCTAGTTCGGACCTCTCAGCTATCGCCCCCTTTGTTTACTTTAGGTTGGCGAAAAGGTGGTTGTTGGTTCATACGAGGGTGGATTAGGGTCCGTTAAATTAAAAAGTGGATTAAGGTATGGAGCTGGGAAATAGATTTTTTACCTTTTTTTTTTTTTCTGGTTTTAATTTCCGAGATGGGGGTGTTCATATTATTTCGTTGCTCGGAGGGCATGCTAGAGCTATAGTGGGTTAAAACTATTACCGGGTGGATTGGTGCGTTTAGGAGATGGAAATGTGAGACATCTTTTTGGGTAATTTCAATCTGATTCGTGATTTGTAGTTTCTAGTCTGTTAATTTCTGAAATAGGAGGTTTCGACTCCTGAGGAGTTCACCCCTGGTTTACTGATGCTGTCATGTAGGGGTATTACGTGATGGAATGTTGCGATCAAAGGTGGTTCTCTCGTCAAATGTGATATATACTTCGGTTCTATATACTTCTGGATGAGGTGTGTATATATCACCTGTATATGCATGTATGATGCAAGGGCAACGCAAGATAGAAACGATAAAGCGGAAAATAAAAACAATAGCAAAAAAGAAAAAAAAAAAAAAAGGACATGGAGTATATACAGACACCCAACACCGAGCTAATGCAAAGGTTAAGGAAAGAATATAGGTAATGTGTACAAAACAACAAGGAAAGGCTACCAAGGAATGACTTTTGGCCGGATATTAAAATGGTATCGAAGGATGGTACCGCCCGCCTTTCCTAAACTCCGATGAAGAATGCAGTCAAACAGTCGCAAGAAGTCCCAATGGAAAGGAATGATGCTTTGAATGCTTGTAATAAAGCCCGAGATGCGATTAAAAAAGTGTGTGTAGTGGAATGCAAAAGGAGTGTAGGCTGGTGATTATCGATTGCGAATCGGTTGGGGGCGTTGATATGTTGTGTTTTTGATGTTTAAATCTGAGTCGACGATCCGATCAGATTCGGCTGCGAGATGCTCGCCGCCTGGCCGCCGCGAAGCCGGTTCTTCCGGAAGAATGTCAGTCTCCGGCTCAATCTTCTCGTCGGCGGCATGAAGCTGTTGTCGGTCGACATCATTGACATGGGCCGGGCACGAGGGGCTTCGGCTGGACTCTCCGATCCCGAGAGCGAGCCAGCGCGGGAACCCGGGGCGCTGGTGTCCATCATCATCAGGGTGGACTGGCGACGCTTGCTGCGGATCTTGTCGGCGGTGTTGCGTGGGTCCAGCTGGAGGGAGAAGTCTTCTTTAATGTCGTCGAGGGCGTGGGAGAATCGACGGAGGAGCGTGGAGGGTCTGTCCCCATAGAGCGATGGCTCCCGCTGTTCCAGGCCGTACATTTGAGGGGGGGTCGATTCGGGGGAATCAGATTGTAATGGAGTCGAGTAGTAGCGAGGGCATTTTACAGGCTCTCTCCGACGAGGGAGGGATGGGAAATATGCCTGAGGATGTTGAGAGATAGGACTGTTGGAACCGGAAGAGGACGAGGAGGACGAGGAAGTCAACATCATTCTTTAAAGTTTGTCGATAGGATCGAAGAGCGCCAATTGATTATCTGAATTAGGGAATTCTTGGCTATTGAGTGGTGATGTACAAAAAAGTCAGAGGAGTGTTGATAACGATAGCGATAGCGATAGTGATAGTGATAATAATAGCAGGAGGAGAAGTGATGATGGTATGCAGTATTCGAGTAAAAATTCTCAGCCCAACCCAAAGCCGAGTCAGACAGTTCGTCTGATGCCGGTGTAGGGATGGGCTGGGGGTTAAGAAATAATTATAGCAGCGATTGGAAAAAAGACTAAAGGAGGGAAAGTGGAACTGTTCACTCAACACATTGTTAGTGAGTGGCTCAATACTGGATCGGTATCTTGGTACGGCTGGTGTATGTACGGATCCGTATCGGGACGGTCTCCACGTCTCTAATGTGTATGCACTCGTTCTGGTATTTTGATTTTCTTGTTTCTGTTCCTTTTCTTCTTCTGGTGCTCTTTATTTTTAAATTACTTTCTCTATTAAAAAAATAAAAAATAAAAAAATAAATTATTTTATATTCTCTAACGTGATTTACTCGTCTTAAAAACATCATTACATCGACAGTGACTACGGACTGACATGGTCCGCGGGGTTGACCACCGGGGCTTGTTTCGCATTTCCCTTGGATCATACAATGAAAAAAAAAAATATCGGCTTTAATCTATGAGATCTCGCTCTGTAACGTCGGCGGTTGCCTTGGGGGAACCGACCGGTGTTCATTGGCCGACGTGGCGGCTGGCAGCCCGTCCGCCACGGAACAGATTGATAATGACTGAGATCCATCGCAAAGTTCTGGTTTCAGTTGGAACATGGATAGAGAACGAGGTACCCAAGTCTCCGAGAAGGTGGTACATGGTAGGACAGTGTAATGGCAGTTGAGAGAAATGATCTATCTTATGGAGTTTGTTGTTTATGAACGGGAAAGGAAGGAGAATACCGAATGGTAAGGGGAAAACCCAAAATAATCAAGAACAAACAATACCTATGGAGTAGCTAACAGGAGATGGGACCACAATCCACTGGGGGCCTCATTCCATCGGAAGCGCGGGAGTTCACGCAATAAGGATGCGAGTCAGGACCACCTGTACCCTTCAATTCGAATTTACTGGCAGAACTACAGGCACGGGGCACACACACCATTCGGACCGGAATGGTGGAATTCTTTGTCTCATTTGGGATGTGTCTGGCATCATTCTTCTGGCCTCCATGCATAAACATACACCTACCTATACTCTGTATCGAGTTTCCTCAGTTCTGCAAACGAAGGTGGTACAATTATGCATACATCCGTCCCAGCCCTGACTAACGTGATACATACTCCGTACGGAGAGCTTCGACTAGAAAATTCCTGGACTGGGTCAGTGTCGGTAAAAATAATCTCTCTGTAACCAATGACCCTGCCCACCTGTGCCCCTAACGCATTAGCGTTCAATCAGCCACTCTGAAACTTGCTCGTCATGATTTCATCGCAACCCCCACAGCCACAAGGGATGTGGATCGTTTCTTGGCCTCCCCCCGGCATGTGCGCAACCCGTCCAGAGATTGGCTGCTAGGACACGAATTATACTGCGAAAAGTAGACACTAAAGGGACTAAAACCCTTCTTTCCCTAGTCCGGAAATTGTAATATGGGATGGATTCTGCGAAAAGGAAGGTTTTCGGCGTCCGCCGCCAACAAGGTTCGTCGATACCCACTGCTTTGGGAAAATTCAATCGGTCCTGGCGGCTGATGTTCAGCCCGTCATGGCGAATTCTCTACCACTCCTTTCGCGCTGGTTGGCCTGGTGATTGCTCATTGGAGAATTGAAGCGTCGACTAACCTAAGTTCGCCGATCACGGCACATTTGGCGCTTGGGAGGGCCCCATGGCTCGCTGGTCCGCGTATGTACAATGCCGTAATCATGCATGGTCGTTACGGGAATTTGTATATTGGGTGACATGAGTCTAAAACAGTCTCACCCATGGTGCTCACTTGACAGAGACGATCCATGGATGACAGTTGTGGTTCTCATGGACCAAAGTTAATCTTTTCTCAATTGTTCGCCTCTCCATACCAACCCAGGAAAGAAAAGTTTATATGAAAAAACAACGACCTGAAAATAAAAAAAAAAAAAAAAGGAATCTCCCCGACTGGGAGTCGAACCCAGGTCTCCCGCGCTTGTTCTCGTAAGAGATGACAAGCGGAAATCATGACCGTTAGACCATCGAGGACTTCTAATTATAGAAGATGTTTACTATTTTATCTTATAAGCAGAATCCTCACTACCTTACATTCTACAGTTCTGACGGTGCATCTGCAGCATCCCACGTCAGCCATTCTAAATAGAACCCCATAAATCCATACAACAAACCAATAAATCCCTGGTGGATCCAGTCCTACCCACAGCAATGCATAAGAAAACACAGCACCCCAAGACAGGAACCACATGCAATGAAACCTTTCCTCCCATGCAACCCATGGAACCAAGACAATCCCAAACAACCCAATCCACACCTCCCCAAGCAAGGACAATACAAACACGATAAAATACAATGAGTTGGAGATACTCAAGTTTCACAATAACCCACACACGGGCATTCCAGAACGTTCCCACTAACTCGTAAGCCCGGTCGTCATCAATCAGCCACTCAGCGGTCCCCACTTGATCTGCCGAAGCCTGCTCCAACGGAACGATGACAGTTGGCCAGGACCGGCGCGCGAATGGGGCATCATCGCTTGTCCGGTGGACTCCATCTGGCATCTGGTGGACAACAGTGCTTTGGCCGTGCCATTTCCGATTGGCTCCTGCGTCTAGGAGCCTCACCTGTCACTCCGGGAACCACGCGGCTTTGCGGACTTCACCCTATAAAGCGTCGTATGCTTGCAGCAACCGATGCCATCTGATTTGCTACGGATCTTGTCAGTTAATTGGGGCTGAAGCTTGTTTCACTGGCCATGTGTGATTTTACGCTGCTGCCTGGGATGTCTGATGATCGGCCGATTTGCCCGTCCTCGGTAAAGGAGATCCGGGGAGGAGCCGAAGGTGGAGGTTATCGGGAGTTTCTTTCTTTGGATGCTGCGATACTACCTAGTCGGTCAATGGACGGCAATGGGTGTGTTCGTTGGTGGTACTTTGATATGTCAAAGCCGAGAACGAGTCTACCGTCGAGGATGAATACCGAAACTAGAGCAACATCATCCACCAGTCATCCCCACTACTCCTTTACTTAGTAGTATCGTCATGCATCCACCAACATTGTTGAATGTGAAACGCAGTCATTGTACCGCGCTAACATACAATGGTACGCCAGCGCCTGCCAAGCAACGTCCTATGGTTGGAAAGGTTCTAGAACTCGGACCAACCCATGTGAGAATATTGATGCATAGAGCGTCAACTCCGAGAGGCTGCATGCGCCGCTTATCAGGAGTTTATGATGCTCTGCAGGCAAAACCTGATCACTCATCCATACTGGTCTGGCTAATACATGAGCAGAAGTCCTTACACAGTTACCTGAGACCTCAGTTATGACCGCGAATACCCGAGGCTATAACATGATAATGACTCCTTGGCACATTTACAACACTTCACTAATGCATTGAGTAGGCCAAATCTCAGTGAGGCTACTAATTCATCAAAGTACAATGTATCATGACAATATCATCACTACGTTCCAAAAAAAAAAAAAAAAAAAAAACTATAGCGAACATTGAGGACGGAAATGCAAACTCTGGGGTCCAGTCACTAGTCTAGCTCAGGAATGATTCTGATCTACTTAGTTGTCCGTTCAATTGCGTTCCAATTCACCGTTTAGCTGCTCCAGATCCACTCGTGATCTGCAGTAGGTCATCTCGCTCAGCTTCCATCCTGCTAGACATTTCTAGTATCTCCAACGGTCACATATCCAACAAACTCGCAAGTAACACTTGGAGATACAGCCTATCGCTTCCTTTCGTTCCTCTCGGCCGTTATACCAAGCTTCTCAAACCCTACACAATTGACCCTCAATGAAAGAGCCAGACTAACATACCCTTTGCGCAAGTAGGATTAACTCTCAGGATAGCTGGTTAGAGGTATACTACGTTGACGAGCACTTTACACAGCAATCGAGCACCGCATACAAGTAGATTCTCGGCAGAAAAGCATACTACGTATTAAGAAAAACAACCAACACATGCCCCGCAAACGATCCCAACACAATGAAATCAAAAATAAGCTACATAATTCTCCGAAAATATATCAATCCAAAGCATAACAACCTTCTAACCCAAATGTAAATTCTACACGTGCATGTATATACATAGTATAATTTTTATCCCCGATAAACAACCTTCCCCGATAACAAAAGTCACATGTGCCCCGCACTCCGCAACGCAAAAAAAGCGCCCAAAAAAATCCCCCTCCCAAACCACCACCACCTCAAAACAACCACGCAACTCACTCCCCAAAAAATGCCCGTAAGCAAGCCCAATATCCTTTTTCTCAATTTCTCTAAACTAACAAATCCGTCCCCAACAACAGCTCATAATCCTAACCGGTTACCCCTGCTCGGGGCTAACTCACCGCGCGAACCAACTCGCAACAGGCCTCCAAGAAACCCAAGAAGCCGTATTCGCCGACGCCGAGAAACCGCCCTACAAAATCCACGTCGTATCAACACATGACGAAAATCGCCCGCGCACAGTCTATGATCATGCGCGCACGGAGAAGGAAGCCCGCGGTGTAGCGTACACGCGGGCGCGCCGCATGCTAGGAAAGGATAGTTTCGTGATTCTTGACGGCATGAATTATATTAAGGGGTATCGGTATCAGTTGTGGTGTGAGGCGAAGGCGTTGGGTACGACGTGTTGTGTTGTATGTTTCTTTGTTCTTTCCTTACCTCCTATCCATGAGCAGAAACTAACAAGAATACCAACAGGTCCACGTCGGAACACCAATCGACCAATGCGTCGCGAACAACGAGGCCCGAATCCAGCGCCAGTCTCAGTCCCAGTCCCAATCTCAATCGGAATCGGAACCTGAACCTCAAGCCCAATCCGAAACCACAACACCAGCTACAGCTACAGCCGCCGAGAAAACCACAGACCCAGAACAGCCCTACCCACCCGCCCTCCTCCAGAACCTTATCTTCCGGTACGAAGAACCAAGCACACACAGCAGATGGGACAAACCCCTATTCACAGTCCCCTGGAGCGACGAAAAACCTCCAATCGCCGACATCTGGACCGCCCTAACAGGCATCCAGC